GTCGTTATTGTAGCAGAATTATTATTACAAACTTTATAGGCTATTAATTAAAGGTTGGTAGTTTTTTTCTATGAGTTGTTATGTCTTGAAATAGAAGAATTGGGTTGGTTGCTACATACTCCTTACAGAAAACGATGGAATTTGAGAAATTTTAGGAGAAAAAAAAAAATGGTCACCCTCGGCCTCTTGCTGACGGTGTCAATGGTTCGGTTCGGTTGGTTATTTTATAAAATACGTACCATACCAATTTTTCGATTATTCTATTATGCATAACTAAAATTAAACTTTCCAAAATCGTCTCAATCATGTCGGTTTCTCTTCGGTAACGGTACAATTCGGTTAATTTTCGATAATTTTTTTAAATGTCATGTAAAAGTCACTAGTAAAAGTAGAATGCAATAACATACGTACTTTTATAGGACTTAGCAAAACTCTCTAGACATTTTTACAGTTTAAATGGTGATGAATTAATAAAATATGAAAGATGGCTAGAGTATAGATCCGTCAACTATTCTACCACAGCGTAAAAGAAACTAAGCAAATATAAAGAAAATATAAATCACACGAGTAGAAAGATATTAACCAAGTTGGGATTCAAAAATAAAGTCTATAGAAGATTAAACATTCAAAAAGATAAATCTAAATCATACGAAAGGAAACATATTCAATACATTATACTTTGCTACACATAATCGCTACAATACCTTATGTCTTGCTAGTGAATATGCTGCAAATAATTTAGTTTCAATAGAAATAGCATAATAGGGTTGGGAATTAGGATTTTGAATTACTTGTTGGCTTGTAACTGTTCCATAATTCCAAGGCCCAAGAACAAGTTTAATACTTTATTATTTTTAAACTCAACATATAAATATATTTTTTACATTGTAAATTTATTTGGTACGATTTGGTATATTTTCGGTTTATTTTCATAAAACAAAAAACCTAATCCTAATTTTCGGTACAATTATAGATTTATATAAAAACCTACGGTTTTATTAAAAGAAACCTAAAATTCTGTTAGGTACGATACGGTTCGACCGGTTTAGTCGGTTTTTAAATATCCATTAATACTCCTATCTCTTACATCAAAGGAAAGGGATAAATCGGGGCGGAACTAAGACATAAGTTATGGCAGAATACAGTAATTTTATAATCGTATTAAAAATTCACTAAATATGTATAAATAATCTTTACCAAACTTAGTAAACAAAAAATAAGTGTGATTCAAAATTTATGAAACTAAAATTTTAAAATTCCCCCTTTGACCGACCATATCGGACGATGTTATAGTAAGCATTTGTGTCTTGTCGGTGGATTTTTAGTTTCTGTTGATTGAGTGAGCTAGAGAGGAATAGAGCCACGTCGGACGCTCTTTTTTCAATTTTATTTTTATTTTAATAATCCAACATTCCCTTTGTAGTCCCGAAAAATCTCAGTTGATTACTATCATCGTAAAAATATTTACTAATTTTTCTTAGAAATATTTATCATGTAATCTTATTGGGGTAAAAACAAGTCTAATAAAATTTATAACTGCTACATGAACTTTTATAAGAATAATGTTTTAGTTACTATTTAACATTATCCATAAAAGTAACTTCTTTTTTATTGTTTAGTATTAGCTCTTAAAGTTATGAGTAGTTAATCAATATGCTACTCATCTATTTTTTGCTTAACAATGATAAATGAATATGATTTGATGTAAACATAGGTGTGAGAGAGTTTTTCCTTCTTTTTTTGGAGCATTTTGCACCCTATCTTTACTAATTTTTACAATATGCCACCCAATCTATTCCTTTTGTCTTTCTAATTGCAAAACTATATAGTAATATTTACTTTATGAGCAAGATAAATCCATTCCGCTCGTCCAGATGTGATCTTTTGCTCATTATCATCTACTGTCCTTTACTGTATATAATTTAAAATTTTAAAAAAAGAACAGAGGCGAAGATATGATCAAGGTTATGGGTTCTGATCTTAACATTGAACATAAGCACGTTTTAGTTACTGAATTCACAACTGAATTTTTTAATATATTTATTAAATTTTAAATACAAATATAAAGTTTAAACAAAAACTATTAGATTCGTGTAAATACGGAGCTACTACACTATCTCCGCCCCGCAAACAAATAAAAAGAAATTGGAAGGGAGAGAATGGCAAAGGACAGATGTCAAGGAATACAACAACAACAATCCAGTATAATCCCACTTAGTGGGGTCTGGGGAGGGTAGTGTGTACGCAGACCTTACCCCTACCCTAGGGTACAGAAACTGTTTCCAAATAGACCCCCGGCATCCTTCCCTTCAAAAACTTCCCACCTTGCTCTTGGGGAGACTCGAACTCACAACCTCTCGATTGGAAGTGGGAGTTGCTTACCATAAGAGCATGTTCAGGAATACAATGCTATAAAATCTCATTATAGAATCATCACTGTCAAAATGAGCAAACTGCAATTTCAAAAGCATACATAATAAAGGGCTTTTTTCTCAATCATATACAATAAAGTTAGCAAGTTATGACCTCTTGATTCTCAAGTGGTTGGAATCTTTCTTTTCCACAATTTTTCATTTATAAACTTATTTTTTTTAAACAAGAACAAATAAATAGTTTTTCCTTAAAAGCTTTCAGCTTTACTCTTTGAGTAAAGACAATATAGAAAAGGCATTAAGGAGAATGATGTCAACATAAACATCTTTTACATCACTTTCCTTCCATATTAAGTTTCTTTGTCTTCATTTTTTTTTAACTTATGGTAGGCTTATAATTTTTCACGGCGATTTAGAGTATAAGAAAATAAATACATGAAGAGGTGAGGAAATTCAATATTTACTATATATATACATAAAAGGATAAGATAATTTTAATCCAGAATAATTTTAATCTAGCATATAGAATAGGGAATTCGGATGAACCCTTAGTTCTGTGCGTGACCACCATCATTTACTTTCTTTTCTACCTAACTACCTAAGTGGGCGTTTGGACATAAGAATTGTGAAATTTCAGAACAAAAGTGATTTTTTTTTCAAGTGAGAATGGTATTTGAAGATTAGAGTTGTGTTTGGACACGAATATTATTTGAAGCTATTTTTTAGTTTATGTGAGTGATTTGAAGTGAAAATTTTGAAAAACATCTTTTTGGAGTTTTTCAAAATTCAACTTTAAATGAAAATTGAAAATTTCATGGTCAAACATTGATTCCGAAAAAAATAAAAAAAAATTTCCCAAAAAAGTGAAATATTTTCTATGGCCAAATGGGCCCAGACTTTCTCTTTAAAGTGGAGTAGAAAACTATGTAAAAATAGCACGGGCTAGCCAATTTTTGGACTGATTATTTAAAAATAGCTAACGTTTGCAAAGTCATTGAAAAATAGCCACTATTTTGCTGCAACACGGAAAGTTCCAGCATAATTGGAGATCGGTGCACCTGTGTATGAACTTCTAGCATATTATGCTGGAACTCCAACACGCGAAAAGTTCCAGTATAATATACTAGAACTTCAGTATAATATACTGGAGTATTTTTCCGGATTTTGAACATTAATTTTGTTCAGATTTATCTTTACATGAAAAGTGACTAAATTTAGATTACTTTTGAAATTGTGACTATTTTTGAATGACCATTTGTAAACCTGGCTATTTTTGAATTTCTCCCCAAAAGCTATTGCAGCTTATAGCATTGAAATCTTGCATATATAGTCATTAAACCAAATTAATGTTGTAACTTACGGCTTAGTGCTATGTAATAGCCAGTAGTTAAAGAAGCATAGAATTAAACCATAGTAATATTTGGAGTATTTAATATTAGTAACTGTGCGTTGATATTTGCAAATTGTCAAAACATGGGTAGAAAGAAAAAATGGAGTATTTTCCTAGCTTATAAAAGCGCAATTAATGTACAATAGTTTTTTTTCTTCTTCTTCATATAGGTTGTACCTTTTTATGTTACAGAAAAGTAACACTGATTATTTAACTAGTATTTGTTTGGAATGAATAATAAGTATAGAGTTATTTAGTTTTAATTTAAAGTATATCTTAGTTACTAGCTGCTTTACACCCAATATCCCTTTATGTACATTAATTTCTTACTAACAAACTAAAGTAAAATAGTAAAAACATCAAATAAGATATCAGAAAATGAGAAAAACAAAGAATAAAACACGAGGAAAAAAAAATCTATTTACGCCAATCCAAATGAGATGATATTTTACCCAAGTGAAAACAAATATTAAAGAGATGACTCGGTTTGGCTCGATTGTATTCAAGTTTGATGTACCATAATAAAATTCGATCGAGCTTCACTTGGTTCGATTCAACCCAACTTAGTACTAATAAAGCTCGATATGATCTCAAGCTTGGCTTTACTCAATATTGTAACGAGCTTAGTCGGTATTATTGGGCTCGACGTCTAAACCTACTTAGATTGTATGATCTAGCTCAATTTAATAATATTGAGCTTGGTAAATACGATAGTACACGTTATTCTTTTTTAGCCTTTAAGTGGTAGCGAAATTGCTTTTCTATTTTCTTTTTCTATATATAATTCTCAGGCTTGATAAATAAGGTCGCACAAAATTATTCTTTTTTAGCCTTTAAGTGGCAGAAAAATCGCTTTTTCATTTTTTTTTTGGTAGATCAATCTCTCCACTATCTATAAATCTAACTCCTGGTGCCACTGCTTTAGCTTATGAAAACAATTCACTAATTTCCTTCTAATATTTTTTATCTCAAGTTATAATACACTTTATTCAATATATATACATTGAATTTGGCAAAAAAGAATTAGTCCAATCTCAATCCTTGTCTTTAATTCTTCTATAAAAAATATAAAAACAAATAAATATAACTTAAATTGGACAGTTAGTTGAAATCTATTCACAAAACACAAATACAAAGAACAAAAATAAAGTAGAGAAACCGAAAAAGAAAAGAAAAGAAATATAAAAAAATCAAATAATTTGTCCCAAATATATTATTCCTTCCTGCGTGTGAGGTGCGCTGTCTTATTTCTCCCTTTCCTCTGTCTTCAACAATAGCCAGCTCTCTGTTTCACAATTTTCCTCTCTGTATATCTCTTACCATTATTCCCTTCTCTCTCTCTCTAAATACTATTCAAACATTTCTCTCTCTAAAAACCATTCTACATTTCTCTCTCTTCACATCTCAGATCTGAATCAGGTTCAATCTCATGTTCAATCAATTAGATCTCTTTTATTTGTTATTTTGGATCAATTTTGTGAATTTCGACAATCAATTTTATGTTTTTTTTAATGTGAATTTAGATCTATAATTTTAGCTGTTAATTTGTATTATTGAGTTTTGTTCAGCTCCCATGATCTCGATAGGTTTTACAATTTCGCGATTTGATTCGTTATGGAAATGAAGTGAATAGCGTGATTCTGTTATCCCATGAGTTATTGATTTTTTTTAACGTATTTATTTTATTGCTGAGTTTATGATTTTACGCGAAATGGAACTGTTGAAAATCGCTGCAATTGTTAATTTCTGGAATTAAATGTAGACTAAACGAGCATTCGTATTACTTTCCTGTCTAATTTGAGATTGAGGAGTAGTTGGCTAGTTGATTGATTAATACTAAACTAATTACTCTCCCTATCCCATTTTATGTGGCTGTATTTGTCTCGATACAGAGTTTAAGAAAGAAAGGCTTTTGGTGGGCTTCATCAAAAGACAGACTTTTTGGTGGGTAGAGGTATCCGGTACTAGGTGATTAATTCGTCTCATTTGCCCAACCTTGGTAGGCAGAGTTACACGGTAGCTGTGCTGGTAGGAGGCAGCAGGTACTTGATGGAATTAGTCGAGGTGTGCGCAAGCTGGTTCGCAAGCCATTGTCATAAAAAAAAAAGACTTTTGAAATTTGTGGTAAAAAGAAGCCATAGACATTTATGTAGGCTATATATCATCTCATTAAGGATAAAATGAAAATTTTACTGGTAAATTGTGGACAAACTAAAAAGGAAAGCGTGCCACATAATTGGGAGAGAGGGAGTAATACAAAACATGTCAATATAAGAGTTCGTTTGGCCTTGGTTAGGCTGGAAAATGAAATCATTGAAGTTGTTCGGTGGGAGGATAAAGGGCCCGTGTGGATGTAATTGGTTTTGTTCTGTTTCTGCAGACAACATTTGAGGGGTGCAGAATTTACAGAGTATCGGGCTGCTAAGCATACAATATCAGAATGAAGAAAGCATTTGATCAAACTGTGCGGGACATGTAAGTCTGCTAATTCAAATCCTACACTTCTCAACGTAACAGACATAGCAATATCTCTGTCAGGCCAGTTATACTTGGCATATTTCATCTCTATTGCCGAACTTTCATTATGGATGGAGAAAATAGCATGTGATATGATCTTGTAGATGTTTAGTCTTTGATTTGTTAATTTGGATCTTTTTTTGATATGTCATTTGTTGCTTTCACTCTTTGCTTGCAGCAAGAGAGAGGTGAATAAAAAGGTTCTTAAGGTCCCTTCAATAGAACAAAAAGTAAGTCCTTTTTGCTCGTTTCTTTCTTATTCTTGTGTCCTTTTTCTCAGTGCAATGCATTTATATTCCTGTAGTACCACTAAAACGTTTTTTAAGAAAAATGTTAGAGACTTTATTTTACTTAGATCAATATAGGCTAAGGATAGACCTACGCAAGTCGCCAACATATCCCCACTTTTGAAACACTTTGGTACGTGCATATACATTAATGTAATATCGTTGGTGGTCATTGATTAAAATACTTCAAATCTTTGTTTGAGGCGTGGGGTTGCAATTAACTTCTTTGAAGGCGAGAGTGCAAAACCGACATGTCGAAGAGGTGCATTTTAATTCTGATCCTTTAAGCAACATCATAAGCTTCTCGAAATATAAAAGAATTCATGGTAAATAACTGCAATTAAGAGATGGTCAAATCCATTATTTCTGTTATACAGAAATATGATATCAAAGAGATGTTCCAAGGTGAAGAACTAATATGGATAGTCCTGTTGGCCGCTCGTACATACAGACTTTGAGTTTGCTTTATTGATTCATGGAATAGAGGTTCTCCGATTTTTTGCTATGAAAGAGAACATAAGTAATTTAGAGGAAAAACTGCCTTCTCCTTGGATACTCCAATCATCCATGAGTTTTAATGGCCACATGAGAGACACCCTTATGTTTGCTGAGGAGGCATGTTGCCTGGAGCTGAGGGTCATACCTTGATTCAAGTAGATCATATTGCTTTCAAAGTGCTTGTTCAAGTTACATACCAAACATACCTAGTCACCTTAGCTAGCNAGTACTAAAACCATTAGTGCTTGCTCTATTCTTGCCAAAAGTAGAAAAGATACGGCATTATCAAATCTGTTTTGGGTTCATGGAATACATATTGATATAATGATAAGATATAAGCAGAAGGAAAAGATCTTTTTTGTAGTTTGTGTTTTCTGCAATAATGATTCTTCCTTCTTGCTCCGGCATTGGAAGCCGTTATAGCTGGTTAGTTTTTACTCGCTTTTCTTACTTTTGTGGTATGACCTGTTATTCTACTCCTGCTCCAAGGCCCCCGACAAGCCTAATTGTTTGCACAATTTTCCTTTGCTTGATGCTGAATAAGTGCTCAAAGTGGGTACATGAAAATCTCACTTACCTGCTCTCATTGGCGGACCTAGTCAATTCTTTTGTTGTCTAATCTGTTAGCTGTTAGAGAGGGGGAGTTTTAAAATAAGTACCTAGAAGATCTTGATACTGTTTTCAGTGATTTGATTATCTTTTTGTTTGGTTTCTCTCAAGGTTCTAGATGCGACTAGCAATGAGCCCTGGGGTCCTCATGGATCACTTCTTGCAGATATCGCTCAGGCTACACGGAACTAGTAAGCTTAAGTCACTGATTTGAGTATTTTGGTTGTGTCATTTATATCCTTTTCTATATGTGAGATTCATTTTCAAAATTTTGCAGTCATGAGTACCAAATGATTATGTCTGTGATCTGGAAGCGTATCAATGATACTGGAAAAAATTGGCGGCATGTTTACAAGGTTTGTCCTGCTTGAATTTGTTTACTCTGTCTAGCCAAGTTGCACTTATAATGTCAGATCATATTTCCTGAATCTTGCATTATTCAAGGTTACCAACTGCCTTCTTTTTAAGATGAAGATACATACGACATGCTTGCTTGCTTTTAATGAATACTATTACTATATATAAAAGTGCTTCACTAAAAAACTATATCTAATGTTTGACGATGAATTTCAGGGTTTAACTGTTTTGGAATATTTGGTAGCCCATGGGTCTGAACGTGTCATTGATGACATACGGGAACATGCTTACCAAATATCTGTAAGTTTCTTCCTTCTTGTTAAATTTGTTACTCTTATGAGATTGCCAACTTGTGGAATCTGGGGAAAACAACTAAGTATTGTCTTCATCTTCTCTTTGCCCAGACATTGTCCGATTTTCAATATATCGACTCCAGTGGGAGAGACCAGGGAAGCAACGTCAGAAAGAAATCTCAGAGCCTTGTGGTTCTTGTTAATGATAAGGAGAGAATTCAGGAAGTTCGCCAAAAGGCAGCTGCTAATAGGGACAAGTAAGTATAACTCAATCCAGTTGGTTCTGCTCCAGTCGTATCCATCTCTTCTGCTTCCGGTCATGTATATAGT